TTTAAACATGACATTTAACGTCAATACCTTAACATTTATACTTGAATCCAACAAATAACATCAATATTTAACTTTAATACTCATAAAATAAATAATAAAATAATTTATATCAATTAAATTCGCTAAAACAAGGTTATTTTACTTAGAAATTTGTATATCGATCATGCCGGTCATACCGGTGGTGTCACGCCGGTTTTATGACCGATATCGGTTGAACCTGTACAACCGGTGGCACGCCGGCCGGCGTGACAACCATGCTAATTACACTCCCAAGTCCCAACTTCAACTTGGAGTATGAATGAAGTATACAAATCAAACAAGAGTTAATTATACATACCTACCTAGTGTCTGTCTCTCCACGACAGCACCACTTACTTCCCATCTCTCTGTCCAACTCATTCCAGTAACGAGTTATTATAACAAACATGGTGCTGATTCATTGGCACCCTGCAATTATTCATGATTTCCCTTTTCATTTTTTCTCTCTCTCATTCTCATATGATCATCGTTGAAGTATAATATTATCTTAATTTCTTACAAAAAATGAAAAATATGGAGTCATGCATAGACGAGAACATGCATGCTTCCTATCTCCCACCAACAGCATATTATTAATTATGAATATTTATAAATTAGCACAGGGCCGGGCCGTTGGCCGAAAGAATTTTGTCAAGAATATGATATATAATAGATTATTTGAAATGTATAAAATGATTGTGTTCTACCTTAGTTATGCACATAACATATTTGAAAGTGATCCAATTATGCATAATGTGTTTAGACCTTCTTGAAAAAAGAAAAAATATAATATAAGTATTACTTATAATTATTGAATAAAAAAGAAATAAATATAACTAATTGTCATTCATTACTTAATTAAATCATATAGTTGAATATTAGAGTTGTTTCTCATAATACATACATAATCAACCTTTAAGATAAAAGAAAATATTTTTCATAGAGTTTAGTATGTCCTTTGAGTTTTTCCCAAAAAAGAGCATTCTTTTTTACCACACCGTTGGTAATGAATCTGAAGTTGCTTGATTTGAAATATATAAGACATGATGCTAAATTATCGCTAATAGTTAGTTGGACAATGTGTTGTGTATGAACTTCCCAAATTATTCTCAGATCGCAGACATGTCTAGCAACAATGTAATAATTTTCACGCAACAAATATTTTTTTTTCATGAAATAATTCAATACATAAAAACTTATGAAAATCATATTACATGAAATATATGTTACTCATTAAGTTGATGAATGAGCGAGGGTATAAGTAACATACATTTATTTTAAAAATATAGAAGTTGCAAAGTGTCTTTTGGGTTGAATGAGATAGCATATTCTCATTATCGCTAACTGCCTTATGCTTTTTTGCAATAGATAATTCAAAATGTGCCTTAAAACTTTTGTTACCACGTAAAAGAATTGTTTGAACCAAATGATTAATAGTATCAAAATTTTTGGTAGTAGAGTATTTTATACTGAAATCACAATTTAACTGTGGTTCAATCGTTTCATATTGCTAAATATCATGTATCGATTTAGCCTATGGCGTGAAGTTTTATGGGCGAACCGCCAATACGTATGATATTTCAATTCAAATTTTAAATAAAAAACCACTAAAATATTGACATTATCAAATACCTTTAAATCTCAAAAATTACCATAATTGTATTAAGAAAAAAATCATCCAAATTATAATATTGATTTAGGATTTTAAGGGGTCGTTTGGAAGTTGAAATTGTTAAATAAATGTTTTGTTGTGAATGCATGCATAATATTATATATGTATTGTCGGATTAGATGCATTGTGTATGTCACATAAGCTAAAAGCTAAGACAAAACAATATTGACAATCACAACTAAGAGTTGAGATATAACAATCACTCATTTTGAGTGATAGTTTCTATCACATCACATATATAATTCATGTATTGTTTCTACTAAAAAAAATAAAAAAAATGATGCATTCTAAACAATACATGTATAGTCGCAATCTCAACAAAACAATTGCAACTTTCAAACGACCCCTTAATTGAAATGGAAAAAATTTATCAAATATAATGTCATCTCCTAAAATAAATCAAAACTCAACAGGGCAAAGAATACCCACTAAGCAAACCAGAAGGACAATTATTTCACACTACCTCATTTCCCCCCTTTTTAAATGTGTCTTCTCACTCTCTCTTATGCCCCGTTCACTTGCCATTTTGTTTTCTGTTTTCTGGTGTGACAAAAAAAAAACAAATGGTAAGAAATGTGTTCACTTGCAATTTCATTATCGTTGGAAAAAACCATGGGGAATGAAAGAGGGAGCTGAGTGGAAACAATAAAAGATCGTATGCTGGAAAATGAGGGACGGATTCCCCCTGTTGCCCAACGGGTTACGCCCCCCCATTCTTTTTAATGAGCCCAGCGTTAGAATCCCTTGGGAACTTTTCCCCCCTTTTGTTCACTTAGACCAACGTTGTCATTTTGCTAACCCCAGCTCCCATAGTTCTTCTCCCAGCCTCCCCCAAGCTCGACCTCCCCATCAAACGAAACTGCCACAATCCACCTCTTCTTCCTCTAGCGAAGGGAGAGAAGATCGATCCGGCGAGCTCCTACTACAATCGGCAAAGCTCCAGCCGACAAGCTCCTTCTCCAGTCAGCGAACGATGGGTTTGCTTTGAGATTTCAGCAGGTATTACCCTTCCACCGCTAAGTTAATCATTCTCAAGAGCTTAGATCCTCGAGGTCATATCAACATAGGTGTGGATTAGGCTGGATGAGACGCTGATGGTTACACTTGCCCAGCAGGTCCTCGATAATCCTCTTTGTTTTTCCGTTTGTTCTTCCATCTCTCTCTCTAAGCTTTGTATCTCACCACTCTATCCCTTTCCCTTTCCCTTCTTCTTTCTTCTCACCGCCTGGAATCGAGAGAAACATAGAAACATCCCAATTACTTCTCCAATTTTGCGTTCGAAATGCTTCTTCTCCATTCACAGTCGATAGTGTGAATCAGAAGACCTGAAACCTGGCGAATAGATGGCCGCTTATTCCTCTCAAATGACGCATTTCTCCATAAAACATGAGTTCACCAATATAGATTGTGTGGAGTTCGCACTTGTGCGCGAGCTCTTGAAGTTTAAGTCTGGTACGACCCATGAAGCATTCAGGCTTGTATAGGGCCGATCATATACATTGTCTTCATGGTAAGGTCTAACTGTGTCATGCTACCTCGACCATGTGTTTGAGTATAGTTATATGCATTCTAATAATTAAGTTTTTACCTATTCACAACACCAAGATAAAAAAAATAGTCATAAATGCACCCAATATTTGATTTTGACTACCTGATAAAATATTACATTTGAACCAACTACCACTGATGTCACAAATAATAAGTATATCTCTAAATCATACATAAAATATTTCAAACATCACAAATATTAAAATTAAATTAATTATTATAAAGAGAAAATATTGTAGGGTAATTATAACTCATTTATATGTTAATGCCCTTAAATTGATCAACACATCCAAAAATGGCTAAATGAACATCACATTAAACCCAATATCGTCTCATTATTGTCGGGTCCATTCATGCCAGATTAACAAGAGGTTTAATGTTTAGCAATTAACCTGACTATAATTTTAGAGAACTAGTCACCTATAGTTTGTACAAAATATTATTGTTTCATACGTAGTAGTTATGAAAATTTATATTAATTTAAAGAATTCTACATATCTTTTGCACATTCAATACTACAATTCGATATGCAATATTTCAAGCATTAAAATTTGTGTTGCAATTTTAAGATTACCCGTCATTTTATAGGTTATAAAAAATTATAAATCACGTATTAAACTTTGCTTTTCAGAAGACTTAATAGGCTAGCTAACCGTGATGAAAAATTCCTCTTCATTTCAAATCTTCGCTAAGTGTATGCAACGTTCATTTTCAAATCATATAATTTCATATCTATAACCTTTGTAGCGACATTACAACAAAACGTGGCTTCGGAGACAAATAATTAGAAACAGTTATTTTATCAGTCTCCATATCTAATCTATTGCCGCCAATATATTATTTGCTTCAATATGTTATATTATTTGTCTTCCCTCCCTGTGTGACTGTGAAGCCTCGATCAAATCCGAAACTCAGGCGTCTCACTCATATCCCCCATCCTTCCTTGCAGTAGAAATCATACAATAGGAAGTACGTCGCGATCCTTCATTGTAGTAAACCTTCTGCTGCTCAGTTGATCAACCTGGTAATTCTATATGCTTTTTATCCTTTCTTTTTAACCCTTCGTGAGTGATTTTGCTTTCTTGTTTAGGGGCCGCTCCTGCAGCAACATGCGACAGCCTGCGTTTTTTTGTGTGTTTTCCTTTACGGTTTTTTAGCCCTTCGTGAGTGATTTTGCTTTCTTGTTTAGGAGCTGCTCCTGCAGCAACATGCGATAGCCTGCATTTTTGTTGTTGTTGTTGTTGTTGTTGTTCCTTTCTTTAATGTTTTAGCTACATGTCTTAAGAATGGATTTGTTGTGTTTTCCTTTACGGTTTTGCAGCTTCTTCTTTATTGGGTACATGTCTTTCGTTCATTGTTTTGCTCTTGGGTTTCATTCTGTTTTCTTTTAGGATTTTGCATCTTGTTTTCATTTTCTTTTCACTTCTTATGAGCAGTGAAGTCATGTCTTGCCAGAAATCCAAGTCAACGGCAGGGGCACCCTCGCCTTTGATAAGAATATCTCCACTATTGTGACTACTAGACAAGATGCTCCGATCCCTGAGAATAACACACGAGGTCCAACAATGTGCATGCCAATTTGGGCTATGCAAGCAGGGGAGCGGATTCAAGTTACAGTTAACGATCTTGGGCAGCCCACGGGTGATGGTGCAACAAAATTGGCAACTTTTCTTGGTACTATAGCACGCACGTCAATATATGCACCTCTACGTCAATATATGCACCTCTATAGAAACGTTCAGCAGTGGGTAAACATAATAGAATGAACATGATATCCCCTCATACACTAGGGAGGAAGAGTTATGCTCGTTTCAAGGAAGAAGTGGTAAGTAAGACATATCACTATAAGTAGTATGATGATTTTGTTGTTGTTGTTGTTGTTGTTAACTGATATGTACATATGTAATGTATGTATATTATCCAGAAATAAAAAAAACCAGACAAGTCGAACCCGACCCGGGCTGAACTTTATATTTTAAGCCATGTACGTCCAGATGGGAAGCCACTTAATGATAAAGTTGCTGCCATCATTGTAAGTACTCTTGAATGTCTTCAATACTATTTATTTCACTTTTTTGTGTCCCATATGAAGTATACAAGTTGTTGGTTTCAGGACAAAGTGAAAGAAAAAATGCAAACAGAGGCTGCAACTCCACATGATGGTTCTGGACCCAATGACATATTATCACAAGTGCTAGAAGACAAACCTTATTACTCGATAGCATATGGATTAGGACCCAAATGGGGCGTGAGGGATTCTCGTTGCTCAATTATTAAGACAGCATTGAAGGTCAAAAATAACGCTGAAGAGAGAGCACAAAGGGTGGAAGACAAATGGAACAAAGTCCTCGCTCTGCTACACAAGAACAATCCAAATATAAATTTGAATGACATAATGGATTCACCAAATGATGAGGTATGCTGCCATGATCCATTCATTTCCTCTAGTGTCGTGTTTTCAGTGTTTTGATTATTAATAAATAATTACTTAATTGTAATTGCTCTATGCTATAGAACGGTAGTCTTCATGTTGCGAGGATTCTGATGAGTTAGGAAATGGTCCAATACTTTCCATGTTGCAATCATCAACTGTAGTACCTGAAACTCCAGCTCAAGATGATGTAAGTTTGTATATAAATTGTTAGTTGTCTGAAATCATAATTCTAGTGTGGTTACCTTGATGATTTTCTATTTTGTCCAATATCAGGTTAGTATAGTTGATGTTTATTTGCCTATGCTTCGAAATAACTCATCTAAAGGGGACTCTTCCGGTGTGGAAGCTAATGATGTGGAGGCACAAGGGAAAGATGATACATTCTTTGATTACATGATAACCTCAAATCAAGTAAGAATTTTCTCTTTATTATTTTGTTATTGCTGCGGGAAATAGATAAAAGGAATGGTTTCCTACTATTCCATAACTAATACTTTTGTATTTAATAGAAAAAGACACGTCTGCACAAGCAAAAAAGATTGATGGGAGTAACATTGGTGATGATGACTCATATAGTTGCACTCAGGTATGTCTCTTTAAACTCCTAAGTAGTACAAGTTTATCTAGTCTTCATAGGGACCTTTATGTTTACACCATATCATTTTTTGATTACAGGGAATGTCATGTGTTATTTTGCACAGTTTACATGATCCTGATGTTGAGGTAGCAAGAGGAGGTATTGTGAGCAAAAATCCACATTGTCGTGTAGGAGATCAAGAATTGGGAAAAGGTTTCTATGAAATGTTTGTGGAAGTTGCAATCAAGCCTGATGAGCCATTAGTGCGACCATATGCAAACTTTCAAATCATTGGAGATGCGGTAGCAGAGTCGATCGCTTGGCCATCACGCATTGTAAGTTAATTGAAGAAAGCTTTTGTGAATTTCATTTACTTATATGGTACGTGGCTCATTTGGTTTATATATCTTGCTCATGTGCAATTGGTGAAGAAGACTGGCGTTGTTAAACCTTTATGGTGAAGATTATCTTAGTTTAATAGACAGTTTTCGTTTCATATTCCGACTTTGTCGTTGTTAACAGAACAACTCCATACATTTTGTTTCTCTATGTTATTTTTGTAAGAATTTGGTGCGAGATGGATTTTTATGTTATGGATATAATTAATATTTATATTTTATAGTTTGCTAATTTTTGGGTCAAATTACAAATGCTTTCCATCTTCTGTACTTTTTTGGCTTCCAACCAATAATTAAAAAAATTGTTCGTCACAAAATATGTTATTACAAGCAATGATAATTGTCTCCTAAAGCATGTATAATACATAATTATTCACCTCTAATCGTGAAAAGTCCTATCAATTAAATTTGCCCCCAAAGAAGACTATTAGAGACAATTATATATGTCTCTTAAATGTTCTAACAAAGCAGATTATTTGTATGTATAGATAAAATTATTTGCCTCTAAATGTACCCATTAGAGGCGAACACAATTGTCTCCGAAACTAAAATCACAAATAAATGTATATCTCTCCAAAAGTAAATAAGCAGGAATTAAAAATAGAATTACCAACAAAAGTATTTGCCTCCAATTCCATTATCAAAGATAGTTATTATTTGCATCATTATTTGTCTCTAAAAGGAAATGGCGACAGAGGAATATGCAACAGATAATATATCTGCTTCGAAAGACAAATAAAAACAAATAAGTAGTTTTTAAATGCAAATAACCTCTCTCTCCAAAAGCATGTTTTGTTGTAGTGCGATCAACAAAGATGATAAATACTTATAAACATTTTGATGGATATATGACTATATCAAAGATCAATCATAAATGCTTTCTTATAAACATGTATATCTCTATTAGTTGCATATTATTGTTATTTACACGCAATATAAGTGGTAGCAACACATACAAATTTAGGGCGGGATTTCAGTCGGTTTTGGTTTAACTGATAATCGAAGAATCTGTTTTCGGTTACTCGAGCGACCCTCTACTGCCTCTGACGAAAGACAATTACTTATATTTATTTCCTTTTTAATTGAATAATTGTATTTATCATATTTCTCCTCTTCTCATTATATTGTAAGTACATTATGCATGACAGGTTGACCATAAAAAAGCACATTATGCATGACTAAGGTAAAAAAAACACATACTACATACATTGTAGTATACATTTATGAGCATTTATCATATCAATTATATAAATATAATTTTTTCATCCTAAACTCTCCCGACCAACGGGTCGGGCCCTAACGCTAGTATCACTACAACAAATTCAGCCTATTATGACGAGGAAATTTTGTCATATTAGATATCGATTTTGTCATATTAGGTATAATATGACAAAAGGTGTTGTCACAAAGGTTTGTCATTTTATCGCCGTCAAGATAGGTCAAATGTGACAAAAGTTTAAAACAAGGTTGTCACATTCGCTTTCAGTATAACTGAGGTTCTGGGTAATCTATTGTGACAAACCGAGATGTTATGACGATATATTTTGTCATTACTTTTGTCATAATTTGCTTATTTTAACAGAATTGTTCGTCAAATTATACCATTATATTTTGATATCACATAATTGTGAGGAACAATTTTTTTGTCATAAATGCATGTTTGACGAACATATTTTTTCATAACTGTATATTAGGACGAACATATTTTTTCATAATTGCATATTGTGACCAATATGATTTATTCATCAATATATTGAATAACATATAGTTGAAAAGATCAATATTCTTGTAACATATAGAAAAATGCCCAAAACCCAGAAAATACAGTGCCATCTAGAAAAACCCCAAACCCAGGAAATCATTTCTGCCCCTGCCCCTGCCGTTGATGACAATAAACTCTTCTTCCTCACTTCCGCTGCGCCGACAACGCATCCTTCTCCTGCCTGCTGTTGGAGCCGTCGCCTACAACGAACAAGAAACAATAACAAACCAGAAAAGAAACCCCAAATCCAAACCCAGAAAATGCAAATTTTATCTTCTTCCGATCTCTTCTTCCTCACTTCCACGACCGCCGAGAACTCATCCCCTCACCCATCTCCAGAAGCCAAAAAACTTATCTTCTTCCAATCCCAAAACCCCATCTCTAGAACTTGCCCCCCTCGCTGAAAACTAAACACCCAAATAAGAAAATAGAACAAAACGAAATCAAAATCAAATCTCCCAAAATCAAACTTCATATTGAAAATAAAAAATACAACCCACAAAACATACCTTCCATTCTCTTTGATTTCCCCAGCAAAAGAGAAGAAAGTGAGAAGGGGGAATCGAAATTGGACAAATCCACCCCCAATCTGGATCTGCCTATCGTGCCAAGCACCCCCGATCTGGATCTACCCTCTGCATCTCGATCTATTTGAGCCTTTGAAGTTGCGAGGGAGCATGTTTCTGGGTTTACAGGCAGAGGAAGATGGGGTTAAAGTGGTGGTTGAGGTCGACATGTGGAGAGAAAAAGGCGACAAGCGATGGTTGGCGACCGAAAGGAGGATTCAATGGTTGGAAGATGGAGGAGACCCAAAGTGTCTCTCGGTGTAGTGGGAGGAAGGTCGAGCGATGGATCTGGGAGCTCGGACGGGTGACCGGAGAAGACGATGTCCTTTGGTGTGTGAAGGACGGACGAATGTGCAGGAAGAGAACGGCGGCGGTGGTTCTGAAAGGGTGAGGCAAAGGGTGATAGTGTGAGATGAGAGGAGAGAATCACGGCTGCTAGGGTTTATTTGCTTTTATTATTATTTGTTTCTTCAACCCAACACAAGATATAAATAAATGAAATAAACATAAAGGCAGGGAGGGAAATTTCGGTGGGACTTGGGAGGGAACTTTGGGCGGGCTTAATAAAATTTGACTGGGACTTAGGAGGGAACTTTGGGCGGGCGTAATAAAATTTGAGAGTCAAAAAGTTAAAAACTAACCTTTTATTTTGAGGAATAATATGGCAAAAGCTACTCTGACGATATAATTTGTCACTTTTGTGTCTCTTACATCTCGATTTGGGATGCCTATTTTGACAAACTTAATTGTGACACGAAATATTTGTCACATTACTCACTTCAAATGACAAACTATTCTGACAACAAAAAATTTGTCACAGTGGAATCTCTTACATCCCGATATGAGACGCCTATTTTGACAAAATTATTTGTGACACGAAATATTTGTCACATTACTCACTTTAAATGACGAATTATTCTGACAACAATATTTTTGTCACATTAGGCATACCAAATAGGACATATTTTATTTTTGTCATATTACCATACCTATTGTGACAAAAAGAAAATGACAAAATAAAAAATTTGTCCTAATAGGCCGAATTTGTTGTAGCGTATCCCCTTCAAAATGAACCAACCGCTTCATGCATGTAACCGTCCCCGGCAAATCTCCCATATACGTCCATCATATTCATATATCCACTCTCCAAACCATCGCATCACTTGACGAAACGCTGCCTCATTTGCCCTATAAAACCCACCGTCCTTCCCTCTTCACATCATGCGCCACAAATTCCAAAATTACATCATCCACAACACCCTCGCTCACAACCATGGCGGCGGCGGCATCGGCATCGGGCAACGGCAGCGGCAACAAGAACTTCCACCTCAAAGTGGTGGCCATCGTGACCACCGCCGCCGTCACGAAGGAGGAGGAGCGCGTGTTCACCCTCCCGCTCGAGCCGATGCTGAACGAGGACACCGCGCTGCCGCACATGCGCAAGATTGTGGAGTCCTTCGCCCCCATGAAGATCCCCGACCCGGAGGACAAAGTCGCCATCGTGGACAAGGTCGTCGACTGCGCCCTCCGTCTCTTCGTCGCCCTCGAACGTGTCCATCAAACTAACGACGACGATGACAACAAAAAGACTACTTCTGGCGGCCTTGATGCGGAGAGAAAGTGGTGGTTTTACTCCAAGGATGATGGCCTGCCGCAGACCACGGTGACGATCTACGTCGCCCATGATGGTTTCGTCTCTGCTGTTGGCGACTTCGAGTTGGATGATACTGATGATTCCGACGACGAGGAGGATGATGACGAGGAGGAGGAGGAGGAGGAAGGTGGTGTTGATTCCATGGAGAAGAAATAGAAGATCGATGGTGTTGTTGTTGTACGTGGTGGCTGTTGCCCTAGCAATGGCGGCTACGTGCATGCATGGTGGTGTGCCATGATATTATTATTACTAAAACTATGTCTGTTTGTGTCCGTTTGTTCAATAATCCAGTGTTTTCGTGAACTGGAATTTCATGTTCGGGTCATCGTTTTATTATGTGAACGATTAGTAGTAGTAATGTTTTGTTGTCGATCGGTGGTTGGTCACTGTTTATGTTATTAGAGAACAATTAAATGTCTCCCTTTTTATAATAAGATGGTCAAACAATTCTGTGTTGTGATGATATATATATGCTTGATACGGCACTTAAAAGTTTTCGTTGAAGTATAATATTATCTTAATTTCTTAAAAAATTGCAAAATATGGAGTTATGCATAGACGAGAAACATGCATGCATGCTTCCTATCTCCCACCAACAGCATATTATTAATTATGGATATTTATAAATAAGTGTATGGGTAGTATCTCTTATTCCGTTCTTAATAGTTAATCCCACTTCTTTTTTAATTATCACACTTGCATACTTCTTCTGTTTTTAAGTAAGCAAAAAAATTGGTACATATAGCACATGCACTCCTCCTATGTATAGTAGTCTGCTTAGTCTGCTTTCCTTTACAACAATTCGAACCCTTGATTATAAATCTCGCCACTGAGAGGATAACTTCGTATGATCAGCTCCCGTAAAAGACCTCGTAAAGAGAAACGGACACATTCACTTAACATGAATTTATTCTCAACTTCTAAAAAAAATCATACCCAAAACATGCTTTACAAATTTACAACATGTCGAATGAAATCATATACTACAAGTTGCAAGTATATATATCTCTTCTTCCCCACCTCAAAGTGGGCCCATATATGGTCCACTTCAAAAAGAAGTTTTTGGGGTTTGGGGGCCATAACCTCGTAGCCCATATGTGCTCGCCCACATCTCTCTATTTTTTTTTTGCCTTAGCACACATCTCTCGGGATTTTTCCAGAAATAGCACCATTAAAAAAGAAAATTACAAAAATAGCACTCATTCCTTAGAAATTACAAAAATAGTACCATTTTTTAAAAACCGCACCCCCTAGATGCGTTTTTAAGGTAAACTGCACCACCTGGTGCGTTTTGTCACTAAACCGCACCTAAGGGGTGCATTTTAGTTGTCTGGGCCAAAACCGCATCTTGGCCATGCGTTTGTGGTCTGACCTAACCAAACCGCATGGCCCAGATGCGGTCTAGGTCTGACCTACCAGAACCACACCTTGAGGGTGCGGTTTCGCTTGTCCAAAACAAACCGCATCCTCAAGGTGCGGTTTTGGCAACACAAACCACACCCCCCAATGCGGTTTGTGTGTCAATTATTATCCGACACCAGACCAGCAGCCATGCAGATTCACAGACGTGGGGCTGCATGACAGATGAAAAACGCACCTCTATGGTGCGGTTTTCATTGATGATTTTGCCTATAAAAGGCAACCCCGGAAATCTTCTTCTCTTCACACCTCTCCTTCTCCCTTTTCAATTTTCTATTGTAGACAGCTCCGACCCTCTTGAAGGTGCTGATGATTAAGGACCAGAGTCAGACTCAGATAATGATGATGAGGTGGCTCATGACCGTGTACTAGTCCCCTACTGCAATCACATTCCAGACGGCAATTGGATGGTCGACAGCGACATGGAACCGCCGGAGGTTCCAATATGGGGTCCACTCACTAGGTCTATGAAATTTGGCTCGAAGAAGGAGGTGCGGCATGTCATTGATAATGAAGCAATGACTCGGCATTTTGAATGGCACACTACTCATTCCAACACGAAAAGGCTCATATTCAGATGTCGTAATCATAACGAGGGATGCAATGTTAGGATTCGGGCCATCAACAGCAAGAGACACGGCCATTGGGTCATATCTCGTGCGTTGAACACACACACATGTGTGTCATCCATAACATCCCAAGGCCATCCGCAGTTGAATTCCAGGGTGGTTGTTGCGGCTATCAAGCATCTAATTGAGAAAGATCCTGACCTGAAGGTGAAAGTCATAATCGCTGACATTGCAAGTCGTTATGGTTATATGATTAACTATAAGAAGGCATGGCATGGAAAGCAGAAAGCTCTGGCCGCAGTATATGGTGATTGGGAAGAATCATACGCATTCCTCCCCATGTTGATTTTGGCACTGGAGGCGCTAACCCTAGCACTGTTTTCTCCCCTCGATACCAAGATGAAGAGGTACAACCGCCAGAGCCAGGTAACAAACGCCATTTCAGACGACTATTTTGAGCATTCAAGCCATCTATTGATGGTTTTGGCTTCGGTGTCCCTGTGATCCAAGTGGATGGTACATTCCTTACCGGAGTCGAGCGGGGGACATCGGCGCTCATAAAGTGAGGGGTAGGAGGCCACTGCTGATTTGGGCGAGGAATGGGATTGAAGTCTTGATGCGCAGTCGTGGAGGAACCATCATGTCAAGTACCCGAGGATGTGGGGGGGGGGGGGGGTTCGTTGATGAAGTTTGGGCGGGGTTCATAGTATGTAGGGTGAGAATCATAGTATGATGGGAGGGGATCTCAGTATGAGATCGGGTTGGGATCATATGGAGCTTGATGGTAGCTCGGAGGGGATTGATGGTAGCTCGGGCGGGGATCTTGTGAGTGGGTGGGGCGGGGATCTTGGGAGTGGCTCGGACGGGGATCTTGGGACAAGCTCGGGCGGGGATCTTGGGAGTGGCTCGGATGGGGATCTTGATGTGAGCTCGGACTGCCACCGTGTGACACAACCAAGGGGGTCGGCACTCTCCACGCCGATAACGGCTTTATCTCGGGCTCATGAGGTCTTTCCCGAACCTTCTTGCTTTTCTTTCTCTCGTATGGTGGTGGGGGATGGGGGACATCAACTTGTACCGGAGGTGGCACCGGTGCGAGCATGGGTGGGTATCTACGATGATCACGACCTTGTGCTCTGATACAGCCAAGCAGACTGTTTGTCATCCTCCTGATGAAGCTCACATCTTCATGTCCCATTTCATGTTTCCCATGGGTCAACGCTTTGATCCGCTCGATCCCATCAGCCTAAATCACAAAAAAGGTTAGCAAGATAAGACTAATGATGTGACAGAATGAAACAAGCAATAAATTTAATCTTATAAGACGGAATATACTTACCAATGCACCATCGGCCGCACCCTCCGGAGTCACGTACCGAACCGATGTTTGCCGATATTTATCCATGTATGGGTCATGATACCCCATTCGACCCACACTTGTTGGAGTGACAATATCCTGAGTTGTCGGTTCTCCCATACCGCGATCAATTCCGCCAACTTCGTGGGCCAATCGTGAGTACCTTGCCGACCATCTCGACCGTGAAACGCCCTTTGACTCTCGGGGAGTTCCAACGGAATGCACTACTCCCGACCAAACTGACGAAGGCATCGATCCGGCAGGTGCCACTCCATGGTCCCTAAACAAATGAGAAGGACCCTCGTGCACCATTGCCCGATATTCTCGGAGAATTGCTGTAAATGCCAATGAACGATGTTCGTCGGGTATGGATCGAATTTGATCTACAAAAAAACATTAGCAACTTAAGTTAAATCTGATTGGAAAAATACATGTACTCCATGAAAAAAAGTTATAGCACGTAGAAGTTTTCTAGTTACCTCTCCTTCCCAAAGTCGCTCTAGCCTCCTCCGATACTCTACCAACTTGTGTTGGGCAAGGTTGTCGCATGTTGAGACTCCAACCCACCTTATTAATAAGACGATAATAAAAATACACTCAATTAAAATAAGCTAAAAATTAAGGAAAATTGTGTTACAAAATCATGATGGGGTATGAGAAATTTACCTACAACCATAAGCTTCGAGTCTTAGGGGATGATCGGGACCCCAATTCCTGTCGGGACATTGGAGCGGTGCAATCCATGGCAGATGCTCCCAAGCCCAAAACTGGACGATGAACATTGCGCCGCAGACCTCCCTCACAGCTTTGAGAGATGCATTGCACAAGTGGTAGTAGATATTAGCTAGGCAAGCGGATGCCCAGCTCAACTCCCCCATCGCATCCCAACTACCAAGGAGGATCCTAAGCCATCCACAGCTAATTAAATTGCTCGATTTTTTTGGAGAAGAACACTCCTCCTATCATGCCCATGAGATAGACACGAGCATATCTTTCCTTCTCCAGCTCCGGACTTTCCTCGGTTAGGGGCACCCCATCTTTTTCAGGATCGTGATGGTCCCTAAAATACTTCGTCAACCAAGTGATTGATACTTGTCCTTTCCTCAATGGTGGCAAGCGATCCGTCGCATCAACGCACCCCTTGGTTGGTACTTTCACCCCCCAAAACACTATGGATGAAATACTGCCAACCGGTCATACCATCACGATCCTCTCGCGGGGGGGGGGGGGGGGGGGGGGGGGGGGGGGGGGGGGGGGGATCACTCACACACACCGCTTTGCCGTCGATAGGCAGATGAGTTAGGATGGCGACGTCCTTGAGTGTGATGGTGCACTCTCCTTCGCGAAAGTTGAAACAATGTGTCTCCTTTCTCCATCTCTCCACCAATGCGGTAATGAGTTGGCGATCGACTTTTATGCCTAGAAAATTCCTAATCGACTCCAACCGTGCCCTTTTGAGATAGGGAAAAATAACTGGGTTCCATGGGAGCACATTGGTCGTACCCCTGTAGCGGAGTATTTGTTGTGCCTCCTAGCAAAAATTTCAACGTTATTTATGATATATTAGTAACAGTTTAGCCTTATAACTAAATAAATTAAAATTAATGATTTAATTTCAGCCATTATTAAAATTATTTATGATATATAAGTAATAGTTTAGTCTTATAACTAAATTAATTAAAATTAATGATTTAATTTCAAATATAATTATATTATAATTATATTATTAACAATCAAAATTTAAGTAATTTGCGGTTTTTTCCAAGATATATACATATTACAAACATACTAAATTAATTGGCATAAATAACATTCTAAATGAATCATAATTGAAAGAGATACATATATATTCAAACATTTAAAATTAATAAATTCATTTAAGTACACATAAACATAAATCGTATTGGTTGTTTGGTAAGTAATTTAATCGTATTGATTGTTTTAAATAATTTAATCGAATACAATGCAACACTCGTTAGACTGTTAGAAGAGGTATACATCTTCTTAGAAACGCAGCCTTTTTGACAGAAAAAGGGGGGATCCGAGGATCTCTTAATACCTGAATTTCCCAGGAAATGGGAGGATCATGATAATCGCTTAAAACCTCATTTCCTTAGACGTGCATCTCTTTATAAAGAGTCGAAGTAAGTGACGCTATGTATTCGATTAAATTATTGAAAACAACCAATACGATTAAATTATTTCAAATTTATTTTATATTCCACTAAGTACATTAGAAAAAAAAAAGATAAATGATGAAGAATTTTATGTACCGGGTGATCGTTCCAAACATCCCTTGAACGATGGTTGGGTTGGTCATACAAGTCGTTCGGATCAATAGGCCTTTGATCCAAATAGTACCGTTGGTTGTATATATTCACGTTGTCCCCAACCTATGAGAGAATAACAACAAGGTTAGTACATAGATTTATTAAAATGTTTATAACAAAAACAAAAATTGACCAAAATAATGATTACGTACCGCTTGAAATTCATCATAATAAACTCCCTCTTCTTGGAACCACTCGTCCATTTTCTCGCGAAACTCGGACAGAGATTCAGCGTCAGACAGAAATTCGGCGGGCGGGTTTTGAGGGAAAAACCAAAGAAATATTTTCTGATGGCAGATCGGACTTAGCCACAACCAACAGACCACTATTTCCTAGGCTTTTGGGAGGGGAGGGGAGGGGTTAGAGAGCTAATTATAGAGAGAGAGAGAGTGGAGAATGGTTGTGGTGTGAAAAAATGAGAGGGGGGAGGGGGTATTTATACCCATCAGACCGCACCCTCCAAGGGCGGTCTGGTAATTTTGCCCCAGTCAAAACCGCTCCTTGCCGAGGCGGTTTACGCTCCCCGATGCTTGACCGCACCTCGGCGCAGCGGTCTTCGATCCGTGGCAAGCTCGCTGACCTGGCAAGCGGTCCGCTACTGGATCGCTTCTTCATCCTGCGGTCCGCAAGGCCGCTGCCCACCAAACACAGATCGCACCTCCAAGGTGCGTTTTCAGTCTGAGGTGGACTAAAACGCACCTTGGAGGTGCGGTTTATACATAAAACGCACCTGGAGGGTGCATTTTATTTATAAAACGCACCTTGGAGGTACGGTTTGATAAAAATGGTACTATTTTTGTAAATGTTGTGGGATGAGTGCTATTTTTGTAATTTTTTTTTAATAGATGCTATTATTGGAAAAATTCCCACATCTCTCTATCTGTCGTTCTCCTGTTTGTTTTCTTTGTATTTATTTCAACAATTATTGTATTTTATATTTTTGCTAGTCAAAGCGTGAAGTGGGGTCTAGTATTGTGAGAGAGCAAAAATGACAGCACCACGTGGCGGCCGTCCTGTTGTGATTAGGGAGGTCGTCTAACACGTCAGGTCTGTTATTTCCTTCCCTTCCAATGCCAACGTGGACTCATGGGATGTGGGTTCGCCCCGAGTCCATCCCGTCTTCTCCCACTTGCCCTCTCCTGGTCTGGTTGAGTCAAATTTCCACCCTTCCCTAGGGCTGGAAGTTTGGTTACGGTTTTTTCAGTTTTGGGTTATATCAAATACCGTAACGAATTTATCACTATTTGATATTACTGAATATCGGCTATTTTTTACACTATGTTTGAGAAGAGGTGCAAATGGTAGGGGGTGCAAGCTTGAGGGGTAACACAAGTTTCAAGGTGTTTACCCATGTTTGGTTATTTTGCACCCCCCTACTGTTACAAAATAACCAAACGGGGGTAAACACGTTGGAACTTGTGTTTACTCCCAAACTTGGGATTGGGATTCATTTTAGAGTGTTATTCGGGATTACGGGATTGGGATGGTATATACTGAAATACCAAGAAACACCGAAAATTAAAAATTAATGAAATATAGAACACAACCTTTGGTCATTCCTCATTCTTTTACAACTTAGAAGCCCTCATCCAACTCAATTTTGACTTTTATGTTTAAGTGTCTCTCGTCTCTCACCTAATCTCTTGTTATTTTTATAACACCAAAAAGCAAACACTAGTATTAGTCGCCTCTCAGCCTCCAATTCATCAAATTAAAGATTACCAATGACAATAATTTGAGATATCACCTCTCCTCCATTCTCCTTGTCCATATTATGGATTTAGGCAAACTCAAGACTCTTTTCTTAGTCTCTTTGTCCCAAATTAAACAATCAAATATAATTTATATATTTAATTATTAATTTTATAGGTAATTAATTTTGTATTTGA